TACCAATTTATAACACGGGATGGGACCCTAATAATTAACGTTTCTATGCAGTTTGTAGTACAACTCAATTAGCAAATAAACAGTACTGCCCTCTTGGATGTGACGCCGTGTAGCCTGGTAGAAGTTCACTGATGTTTCGGAAGAACGTACTGCCTCCATCTTCAGGATCGAATAGTAGTAAGCAGCCCAGTAAGCAGAGGTCTGCCTGTTATCTGCTCCTTGCTGGATGCTTGCTTCGCTTAATCATCAACCCTGAACATCCAGGTAGCGCGTTCCTCCGAAACGTCGGAGAAAGTCTATCTTAATCCTGAACATCCAGAAACCACGTTCCTCCAAAACGTAACACCTATAGGACTACACGGAGTGAGACCTTCATAGTCAGCGCAGAAGCAGATGGGTTATGTGCATGACGTTTCGGCCTTACCTTGCGTCCCCACAAGAATAAGCGGAATCTCGGCGGAGTTGCGGAAGTGCGCCATCTTCGTGTAGTAAGTATAAATGGCGTTGAAACTGGCCTCGTTCTCCAGACTGAAGACAAAAATGACTGCGTCCACCCAAGCCGTGAACTGCAACAGAGAGAGTCCAGTGTAGTTAATAAGTACCATCCGTCCAGAATTAAGAATACACTATGCTCTCTTGTGGGTTTCGTTACGTTGAGAGTTACAGTCGTGGGAATAAGAAGCTGGTCACTTTGGCCTGGGACAGTTCTGGAACCCAGAGGAAGTGGAATGTACGACGTTGAAAGCCGCAACCAAGCAACGGCTAGTGAAGACTGAGATAAGATTTTACGTGTGCTGTAGTTTCTTTGGAGCGTGTAACTCAGCGAGACTGTCGTAATTATTTGTAGTTACGTTCTGTAAGTGTCCAATATATATGCGTGCTGTACAAGTAGTTACAGTGATCTTTGGAGCGTGTAACTCAGCGAGACTGTCGTAGCTATTTGTAGTTACGTTCTGCTAAGTGTCCAATAAATCCGATTACCAATCCAAACCTCGTCTCTAGTCACATTAAATCACGTGACAATATGTATACATACTGTGATATACATTATTTTATATTCTTGTGTAAATTAACATATATTTTGTATTATTAGGCCAGTTTCATTTTTACGCAACCGTAAGGCAATAATATCTACCAAACGGCAGCCGATTGCGCTGTGTTGGTTTCCACCTGATGATGGCCAAATGGCCGAAACACAAAGCGTGACTGACCGCTACGTAATACTAACTTGGCACATAGATCTTAACTTATACAGCGGAGAGTGAGGTTATGCAGCTCTCAAATCCGAACAGAAGCAGAGATATTTCAGTCAATATAGACACTGACTACGGGTCGGACCGCCGAGAAATTGGGGTTCGATTACTGGCAGGGGCAAGAGATTCTTAGTTTCTTGACAGCGTAAGGACTGGCTGTGGTGCCCCTCCAGCCTCCTATCCATTTGGTGCAGGGGGCTGTTTCCCCGGGAATAAAGCGGCCGAAGCGTGAGGCTGACCACTCAACTACATCCAGTGCCGGAGTAAAGAATACGTGGATGTGTACACCCATTCCCCCATACGTCTTCAAGGCGTGGCACTTAATTAAGCACAGGGACAACTTTGCCGATTAGATGCTCGGGGCCGACATTTTGTCGACCGGAGGAAAAGTACAGATTCCAAAATCACAAAAATGTTACCCATACTCACTGACTCCTTGGAGCTGAGCCCTTCTTGGGAAGCCGCCCAATCACACAGCTTCTGAAGAGCGTCCCAACACTTTATGGAGCATTCAAGTTCGTTACCGTATTCACAAGAGCCAGATCAATCCAATCCATACCATTCCAACCTATCTCTCTAAGATCCATTTTAGTATTATCCACCCACATACGTCTTGGTCTTCCAAGTGGTCTCTTTCCTTCTGGCTTTCTCACCTATATGCTATACGCATTCCTTCTTCGCCCTCATTCGTGCTACATGCCCTTCCCATCTCATCCTCCATGACTTGATCATTCTAACTATACTGGAAGAAAAGTACAAATTATGAAGCTCCCCATTAGGAGATCTGAACAATGACAACAAAGAAACACAGGGAAACAAAACCTAGTAACGTCGCTAGTTTCGAAACGATTTCTGTAGCTGAAGTAAAACACATACATACATAGCTAACCAGAATTATCAGACCTGTGTGTCCGCTGACAGCTTTCCCGCGGACCACCAGCTGAGAAACGCTGTCACATTCATGTTGACCGCGAAGGCGTCATTGCCCTTGCGTACGCCTCACACAGGCTGTACCATACAGCAGTCAGGCATTTCTGCTGGCCCTCGCCAGCAGAAACCCTTTACATAAAAAAAGCAACAGGCTTCAACCCTCGCACGAGGCAAAACACCACGAATCCCCCACCCCCCAAGAAAAATTTGAAATTCCATCGAACAGGCCGACACCGCACTGGGCACCCTGACGGTGAGACCAAATGAAGCCAGCCCTCGACCTGACTTATCTAAACGACAAAACTTATGTAAAAACATGTTACGTTCTAAAATTATCATAAGCATGATACGAGCGGGGATTCTCCCAAAGCAGAACAACAAAACAGCGGCGAAGCGGAAAGCGTGAAGGACATCTCGGTATGAATAAGTCACTGATAGATACCCTGATATAAATAAGCGTTCCGTGGTCTAGTAGTGACTTAGTCTTGCGCAGACACGACTCAGCTAAGCGTACACGTCTGGTTCTTCTACTGTAAGTACTATTAGATGAACTTAGTCTTGCGCAGACGCGACTCAGCTCAGCGTACACATCTGGTTCTTCTACTGTAAGTACTATTAGATGAACTTAGTCTTGCGCAGACGCGACTCAGCTCAGCGTACACATCTGGTTCTTCTACTGTAAGTACTATTAGATGAACTTAGTCTTGCGCAGACGCGACTCAGCTCAGCGTACACATCTGGTTCTTCTACTGTAAGTACTATTAGATGAACTTAGTCTTGCGCAGACGCGACTCGGCTAAACGTACACATCTGGCTCTTCTACTGTAAGTACTATTAGATGAACTTAGTCTTGCGCAGACGCGACTCAGCTAAGCGTACACATCTGGTTCTTCTACTGTAAGTACTATTAGATGAACTTAGTCTTGCGCAGACACGACTCAGCTAAGCGTATACGTCTGGTTCTTCTACTGTAAGTACTATTAGATGAACTTAGTCTTGGCATGTTTTGTTCTGTATACTGTCCACTGCCTCGAGTTCCTTCAGACAGTGTTTCGGAAACCGAAACTGTTTCCGTCATCAGGTTTGTCTCGATCACTGGATCTATTTCAGTAAGCTCCTGTACAGGGATCGAGAGCGGTTCTTTGTAACGGTCGGCACCGAGGAGGAACCCACCCCCCTACTGTATATGCCCCGACGGAACAAATCCTGTTTCCGAAAGAAGTGAAGAAAATGGGAACTGTCCAACACAATAATATTGGGTGCTACTTTAGCGTGCGGTGTACCTGAATTTTCTACTTTAGCCTGCCGCCTACCTGAACTTTTGTACTTTAGCGTGCGGCCTACCTAAACTTTTGTACTTTAGCGTGCGGCCTACCTGAACTTCTGTACTTTAGCGTGCGGCCTACAAGAACTTTTCTACTTTAGCTTGCGGTATAACAAAGCATTTATCACAAAAAACAATGAACAGTGGTGTTTTATATATTTATATATAAATTGTTGTGCCCTGAAGGCCGACTCCCGGTAACATGTTAAAAGAGTATTTAATTTTGTTTTATTTTAGGGGAAAATGTTAGCTAGAATAGAATAAGTATTTTGGGAATTACCAGTAAGAAGTATTAAAGAGAATGTAGAGAAGGGTTAAGAAACTTCAAAGAATTTCTATGTATGGAGTCAGACAGACGTTGGCCCGTGACGCGGGGATGTCCTGTCAGCAGAATGACGTTGAAGGTATATCGAAATGCTAGCTCTACAAAATCTACCTTGAGTGATTGTGGAACGTTTGGAGGTAAAAGTGCTTAGCCAAATGGACTAGCCGTCAAGGGGCGTGTCCACCCCCAAGGATCCCAGCCAACGTGAGCCAGCCACATTGGGACATAACGTCATTGTAGGTGGACTTGCACCCTCCGGGAAGGTAATGAGTTAGCAAAAATAAAGGTACATAACCCGAGGAGCAAATTAGTAACGGGACTATTCAAACAGTAATTTTGGGCAGTTGTAGCCGGAGGCTATGCAGGGAGAAGCATCGATTGGATGCCGGGCAACGCCGTCCGTCTGCAGTCTCAGCGCAAAGTAAGTGGAACTACTCTCATCGCCATGCTATTTAACTGTGATATTATTAAAGTGTAACTCCTCCAATGGGACATGAGTTAGGAACGTTACGAAGTGTACAGGGCGTAAGAGTGACTCATCGGAGGGATACAGAGGTAGACATGTGTAATACAGAGACTGCAGAGGGTGTGCCTAGATGCAGGGAAGATCGCTGCAGGGGTGTGTAAAGATATATGTATGTATATATGTGTATATATACAGGATGTCCCAGGAGGAATGTGCCAAACTTCGGGAGGGTGTTCCTTATGTTAAAGTATGCCGATATAACCCAAAACACCTATGTCCAAAGTTGAACGGTTACGGAGATAATGGCCCGAGAAAAGTGTGGTCTTCTTGCAGGTCCACGCACTGTGGACAGTCAGCTGTGACTGTTATCTGTTTGTACTTGAGTGTGGTGATGTCACACTAGCCGTGATCTCATGCGCAACCTACCGATTACGTTGCGGCGGGGTCGTGAATGGGTGGTAAATTAGTTGTGTGATGAGTTGCTGAAATGCCTCTTGTGTTTTCACACGTGGAATATTGTGATATGCATTTTGTGTGTGGATTTTGCGGTCGCAATGCACGTGCTGCTGTTTAAGAATACCAAAGGCGTTTTCCCGATCGATGGATTCCATCTCGAAGTGTATTTACGCGAATTCACCAGACATTGCGTGATACTGGTTCTCTTGCAAGTGTTTCTGTGCACTCTGAAAGGCAGGATGTACGAATGATAGACACACGAGAGCACATTCTTGATATTGTTCAGTGAAGTCCGCGTCTATCACTCGTAGAATCGCCTCTCGCATCGGCGTATCATGTATTCAGGTGTGGCAAACTTTACATCATGAAGAGTTATTCTTACCATGATCAAATGGTACAACATCTGGAACCAGGCGACCATGCACAGCGTATGGATTTGTGCCACTGGATAAAAAGTTCATCCCGAACTGTTAAGCGTCATTTTATTCAGTGATGAGGCGTCTTTTACCCTGGATGGTGTAAATAATTTACGAAATGTGCATACGTGGTTCCATAATAATCCACATGAGATAATGGAAACGAAATTCCAAAAGAGATTTCCTGTGAATGTACGTTTACAGTTATGTGGTCGGGTTATAGCGCAGCCATATTACGTCATCGCTCGCCAGTCATGTGTCATGTATAGTGCTTGGAAACCTAAGGACAATTATGACATGGCGAGCGAGTATTTCGTACTTCAATTTTATGGCTTTCCGTCACTCACAAGTTAGTTTGATGTTACGTACATTATTAACATTACAGAATCCACATATTCCTGCCAGTTTTAATATCTATTTTGTAATCAACAAGTGTGTAACCCCGGTCAAAGTTTGACACTTCTCTGGCCATTATCTCCGTAACCGTTCAACTTTGGACATAGGTGTTTTGGGTTATATCGGCATACTTTAACATAAGGAACACCCTCCCGAAGTTTGGCACATTCCTCCTGGGACACCCTGTATATATATGCAGGGGATGAGAGAGGTGTAGTGCAGATACATGGATGAGTAGAATAGGGAAAAGAGGAGACTAGCGACCAGCAACTGGGTGAAAGGAAGGCAAAGATGAGGTCCAAAGAATCGCCTAGAAAGGTCTAATGAGTAGAATAGGGAAAAGAGGAGACTAGCGACCAGCAACTGGGTGAAAGGAAGGCAAAGATGAGGTCCAAAGAATCGCCTAGAAAGGTCTAATATGTAATCCGACACCAGTCGGCTCTCTATAATGTATATAGCTGTATATTGATTGTCTATAACTAATATAGGGTAGCATAGGGTGAGAATGTGGAGTTTTGTTGCGATTTCCTTCCTTACCGCATTTCGCACCTGCGCCCTCCTGACAAGCCCTGTGAACTGCGCGCACCTAGCCAATGAAGCAACGGCCGAGGAAGTAATTTAACCGTTTTCTTAACCCCCCTGTTACGGCAGTACATAAATATATATTTATAATTAACTTTCTTTGAAGAAATAAATCTTGCAACCCACGGTAATGTGATCGCAGTATAGCGCCTGGTAAATCGCATTCTATAGTGTAAATGTCCAGGTAGACCGCAGATTAAAGGTTGGGTTGGGTTAGGTTACCGAACACATTACCGTGGGTTGCAAAATTTACGAGTATTTCTTCTAAGAAAATTAAATATAAACATACTTATATATAAAAATAAGTACAAAGCACCAATGTTCACTGTTTTTACGATAAATGCTCTGTTAGGCCGAACGCAAAGGTAGAGGAGTTCAGATACACATCAGTCTGTCTCACAATCCGCAATGACTGCCATTTTCAGCCTTATCGACTAGCAAGTCCGCCCGACATGGCCCAGTTTCGGCCCGCGATGTGCCTAGCACTGCTCCTGCTGTGTGTGGCTGCGCTGCGCGCGCAGGAAGGCTGTCCGAAGCCTCAAGGACTGGGATCCTGCGCAATAATATGCACGGTTGGCCGGCCGTGTGCCTCGCCTTTGCAACTCTGCTGCAGTACGTCCTGCGGGGGCACGTACTGCTACACTCCGCCTGTGCCAGTTTAACCCGCTCCATCATAAGGTAAGAGGCCCTCTGTCCGAAACATATTTATGAATATTAATCACAGAAGATTTCTACCTTCAGGGATATAACGCTGTTTCATTTCTTTTCCTGCTTGGCTTATTCTTCGACTCCGAAGATGGAGGCGACGTGTTTCTCCGAAATGTCAGTCTACTTTCACTGAAATACACGGTGTTATAGCCGAGAACGTACAAGTGTTCGTAACCACCGCACATACGGGGTTTGGATTGGATATTGGATTTACTGACCACTTACAGGTCATAACTACAAATAACTATAATATTATTTCCATACTTCACAAAATCACGCTAATTCTTTTCCAGCCCTCAGTCTCTGTCTGGTAACGGCCTCTAACAGTAGATAGTCTTCTGTTTCTGGATTCAAGTTCTCTGTGAATGGCGGCTCCCTTCCAACCGAACTATTCACGTCAAAGTCGAAGTCACATTGCGATAGACGGTCAGTCAGTAAGTCTTGATGTCGAGTCCAATCTGGGGCTCATGACCAGATATTTATTACTGTTCGACAGTTATGGTCTTGTTCTTGTGGGGCACCCTCTCTGACGAGAGGACTGGCCTTTGTATATGCTGCTGGCCTTTCCAGCGCAGTCTTTCTAGGGTCCGAGTCCCAAGGGACTCAGATCCGAGAACGACTGCACTGGAAAGGGCCAGCAGCATATACAAAAGGCAGACCAGTTCTCTCGTCAGAGAGGGCGCCCCACAAAACAAGACCGTAAATGCCAAACAGTAATAAATACCTGGTCATGAGCCCCAGATGAGGCTCGACACCAACACTTACTGACTGACGGTCAGTCGCAATGTGACTTGGACTTTCAGTGGGTTCTGCAGAGTGGTTAGCAGCGAGATGCGAGAGTGTCGCCAGCCAGCGAGGATAGGAGCCCGTGAACACGGACGCATATGAATCTACATTGTTGGCAGCCGTTCCCAGGCAACGCCTAGCGAAAACACAGCAGACTGAAAAGACATAGTGTGTGCCGTAGTGAATTGTAGAGTGCGTAAATTAGTGAAACAGTTACAATCAATTGTAGGTATGGTGTCGAGAGTCCCATAAATCCAATTACCAATCCAACCCCCGCCTACAGTCACTAAATACGCGATAATATACTACGGTCCTGTAGCCGTCTCTTCGACTCGCCTGTATGTGACGCAGTAAGTCCGACCACGAGCAAAAAGACTGTAGCTTATAGCAAGTTCTTCGTTTCAACTCCAAATGTCGAATCCTGAAGTCGCAACCTTGCAACGGAGTTAAGATAAAGTAATTTCTGTGGTTAATTAAGTACCATGCCATGAATACGCATTAGGGAATGGCGGTATAGCTCCACGCATTCGGAACCAGATGGAGATGAGTTGTTCCTGCGAGATACAACGATCTGATATGGTCCTTTCTGAATCGCGGACCGACAAGAGAACAGCGGACTTACCGAGAACCTATGTCACGCTGTACAGTACAGACATCAGACACAGAATCTGCTGAGGTCTGGGATTCTCACCACGGAGGACATTCTCAGTGCGGTATATTCTGTGATGTGAGGCTGTGCAGTTCAGTAGAGATGTACTGCCGTTTCGGCAACTTGTTGCCTTCAGCTGTAGAGTACAAACATTTCTTGCCCTTTCTAGTATGGAGACCCACATGTCGATACCATTCTGGGATGAGAGGCCGTAGTCAGACACAAATTCACCTATGCATTGGACGAACGTAATGCTTCCATCTTCACGGCAGAATAGCGAGCCAAATAGGCAACCAAGAACAAGCAGCAAGCAGAACCTCCTTCTTCCTGCTATCTTGCTTCGGTCACTCTTCGATTTTGAAGATGGAGGCAATAGGTTCCTCCGATACACCAGTGAAATACCGGACTACACGGCGTCATTACCCAAAAATCATTGTTCGTGTAAAAACGNGGGAAGTTATCGGGTACCAATGCCACTAGAGGGCCGACCTCGCTGGCAGAAAGGGGAGAGTTATCGGGTACCACTGACAGTAGAGGGCCGACCTCGCTGGCTGAAAGGGGAGATAGCGGGCACCAGTATCGGTCGGGAATGACGACAGTAGAAATTAAAGGGGGGAGTACAGTAGACTATTAGTCGCGGTGCATGGGGAAACCCACCCCCTCTATACTGAACAACTGAATAAAAACGCAAAGGTAAAAAGGGGTACTAGAACCTTCTTGTATGTGACGCCATGTAGTGTGATATTTACATTCGTTGCTTCCATTTTCAGGACATTAAGCCGGGGGTATGGACAAATATTGGGGCGCATGTGAAACAAATGGGTACATGTGGCCCTAAAATTGTCCGCATTTAGAGACAGGTAGAAGCTACGAGTAAAGCCGTGACAGCTGAACGCTTGGCGAGTATTCACCAGACTGCACCGCGTCACTTCCCACAAAACATTCCTGACTGTGAACGCCGTAAACCCTCAAACCTCGCACTTTAACAAGACAGTCAATAGCGAGACATGCCTCTCTGCAGAATTCATGAATATAAAGCTTGTATTGGTTGGCTTAAAAATGCGTCGAAAGGCGATAACATTGCCCTCTGAGGGCCACCGAATGGACTTAAAATGTATGAAACTAATATTCACGTCACTCTGCATTGTAGGTGATTCGAGGAAAACACAGAAAGAGACGGAGCAAGAATCAGAAGACAGTTTGAAATGTAAAATGTTGCAGAAATAAATAAACGCATAACGCTCAGCTGTTTTTCTACTCCATTCCTTATGCCCCTTTTACACTGAACTATAACTACTTCTGTCTTAAATTGGGGGTACGATTTCTCTACTGGCTTAAAAGCAAACTTCAGTGCAACAGTGTTCTTGGTTACATAACATTTCGGAGTTAAGGTAAGGATGTTGGTTGAGGCACAGTGCCACAAGCCGAAAGGTCGCGGGTTCCGATGAGGTCATTGGATTTTGAATTGACCTAATCCTTCCAGCTGCACTGTGGCCCTAGGGTGGACTCAGTCTGTAACAAAAATGAGTACCAGGAATCTTCCTTGGGGTAAAGGGTGGCCGGCACGTAAGGCTGACCTCACCGCCATCTGTGAGCCGAATGTCTAGAAAATGTGGGAGCCTCGACGTCTCACAATCTTATGGACCTCCTCGGCCTGTTACAGGGATAGCTTTACTTAACCTCACCGCCATCTGTGAGCCGACTGTCTAGAAAATGTGGGAGCCTCCACGTCTCACAACCCTATGGACCTCCTCGGCCTGTTACAGGGATAGCTTTACTTAACCCCACTGCCATCTGTGAGCCGATTGTCTAGAAAATGTGGGAGCCTCGACGTCTCACAACCCTATGGGCCTCCAAGGCCTGTTACAGGGATAGCTTTACTTAACCTCACTGCCATCTGTGAGCCGACTGTCTAGAAAATGTGGGAGCCTCCACGTCTCACAACCCTATGGACCTCCTCGGCCTGTTACAGGGATAGCTTTACTTAACCCCACTGCCATCTGTGAGCCGATTGTCTAGAAAATGTGGGAGCCTCGACGTCTCACAACCCTATGGGCCTCCAAGGCCTGTTACAGGGATAGCTTTACTTAACCTCACTACCATCTGTGAGCCGACTGTCTAGAAAATGTGGGCGCCTCCACGTCTCACAACGCTATGGACCTCCACAGACTGTTAAAGGGATAATTTTACTTAACCTCACCACCATCTGTGAGCCGACTGTCTAGAAAATGTGGGCGCCTCCACGTCTCACAACGCTATGGACCTCCACAGACTGTTAAAGGGATAATTTTACTTAACCTCACCACCATCTGTGAGCCGACTGTCTAGAAAATGTGGGAGCCTCCACGTCTCACAGCGCTATGGGCCTCCATGACCGGTTACGGGGATAGGTTTACCCTTTNCTCCACGTCTCACAACGCTATGGACCTCCACGGACTGTTAAAGGGATAGTTTTACTTAACCTCACCGCCATCTGTGAGCCGACTGTCTAGAAAATGTGGGAGCCTCCACGACCGGTTACGGGGATAGGTTCCCCTTTCATAAAATTCTCCTTGCACCAAGCCACGAAGGCGTACTGGGGAACAGAGGCACATTTCCTTGGATTCTTAACCTCGGAGCTGGATGGAGATGAGGGGCCAGCTACAAGCTTTACACCAAAAGACAGACCCCCCCCGCACCCACTGCGAGGGAGGGTGGGTGGCTCCTGGTCTGGACGCAGCGGTGAAGAGAAGTTTCCAGACAGGTCACAGCACCAGTGATCACCAAGCTACACACATCACGAAGCAATAAAGCGCTGCTGGTGCCCGTATGTGATGCAACTCCACGGAAACTGTTCGCACGGGCTGGCAAGCTCCAAGATTCTGCATACTGCCACATGATGGAGCGACTACAGACGCGGTTTGGGTCAGTAATCATATTTAGTGGACGCTTACACTCGTAACTACAAATAACTACGATAGTCTCACCGAGTTACGCGCTCGAAAATCTATTTTAACTGCAGCACACGTCTTCACTAGCCGTTGCTTCGTAGCGGCGTCCAACAGCGGACGTCCCTCTGCTCCCGGCATCATGTCCATGCGGGCTGGTAGCCATCTCACACCAACCTCCTACTCTTCTAACTGCCGTCTCAAGACTGTCCCGCAATGGCAGCCGATCCTAGCTACAGTCTACGCACGAACCGCACAGAAAACACCACTTTCCAAAAGTTACTCTACTGCGTGTTACACAGCCGTTACCTAGCAACTGCCGCTTCTGCGACTTCACAGTTATTGCTTTGAGCAAATATTCCACAATATTTTCAAACCACAATTTCATGTTCTGTCTCAAGTACTGCAGATTCACTAGAAAATTCACTTATTTTTCAAGATATATATGAGACAAACACCGTCTTAAGTGCAACAATTTAACTGTAGTTCTTTCTTCTTTCCCTCCTCCACACTACATGTTTCGGCCCTAAATGGCCATCATCAGGTGTGTGTTCTTACGTAGCTGCTACACTGCCCGTAGTTTAAAATTTAAAATCACCAGTCTTTCTAATTGTATAAAATCTTTGTTAACCTACACGCGCTAATTTGATTTCTAAAATTGGCACTTTTTTAAAACTTTAATTCAAGTTAAAATGTCTATAAAATTTCTGTTCTTTTTCTTTTTCCAATTTCTTAAAATTAAAATTTTCTCAGTGTACATGCCCTATGTCTATAGTGCTGCTATAGTGCTATATCGCTGTTCAGGTATTGTTCTGTGTAGGCTCTCTCTGTGTGTGTTAAGATGGTGTTTGTCTCATATATATTGTGTGAGTGTAACAGGATGCTCAAATATAATATTATTTTTCAAGATTTAAACGTCGGCAGGAAAATTGTTCATTACTTCGTAATTATTTTGCTCAATAGCCCCAATTCCATAGAGGATCATACTGCCCAGTATTTGAGAGATCTAGTGGGGCACTGGTTGCAAATTTCATGCAGGCAGGAATGCCGGACACATACTCGTACACTTCACAGTTGCCATGTATTTAATAACGTATTACTTTAAAAAAAGGTGCCCCAACGAACAGCCATTTTATCCCATATTCGGTTACAGCGTGATATCCCTTTACCATTGCTTTTTAACTATCTGCATCATTGTCAATATTGCCCCTTCCTTCCTGCCTCTCCTTTACGTTAAAACAGTTCAGCTGAACATACCTCAAAGGCTTCTATAATTACGTTGGCCATTCGTCACTTTTGTGACGGCAAATGTGACCAAGATGTTATCCTAGAATTTCGCGTTCCCCTGCAGCGCGAAGTTGCATGAACTTGATAGGAGCGTTGCTTTCAGCCTTCGGACTACAGTTCTGAAATTCCCTTAAAAGTTGCCTGTCCATTCGGTAGGCCCAGGAACACGGAAATACGAGACAGACTTCAGCACGTCCAGTTCAATTATGCGCAGTGCAACACTAACCTTAAAGGCCGGTGACAGGAGCCTGTGATAAAAATCGAAAACACCCTATATATACAAGACCCAATGAGTACGATTCTCTTTTTTTTCAGTTGGGTTTTTTCGTAACGATTTTTCCAATTCGAGAGGAGAAACGCCTCTATCCTGTAGGTTCTCTTCCCCTTAAACACTGCTCTAAAGGCTTGTTTCCCCTGGGCTCTACTTCTCCCGCGCCTGCTGAAAGTTCTCCCCTTTCACGGCGTCCACAGAACCNAGGCAGGGAAGGGGGGGGGGGCGCACCTTCCGTCTCTGGGGAATGTGGCCCTTCCTCCCTTCCTCGGGACAGGGAAAACGTGTCTAATATGGCGACCTGGGAAATCAGTCAGTATTTCAGTAACTGGCCAAAAGGTAGCAGAAATGTTGGGTCATAAACCTCACGTCACAAATTAGGATCCATGCAGAATGGTATATTTGAATTTGTTACAGCTTTATGACAACTTCTGCGAGTTAACATTATACTGTCACGATATGTGTGGCTATAGACGGGGACTGGATTGGTGGCTCGATTTTGACCATTTAAACACACAAGTCGAACAACAACTAATTACAGCGCCAGTGCTTATCTCCACACTTTACAAATCACTACACAACACCCGCTACATCTTTTTTCAGAAGTCGTACCGTGGCAACTGCTTCTAACAGTGGAGATTCTTCACCTTCACGCGCTCAGGTTCTACCTTCACAGACTCCCGAACCGAGCTCACTCTCAACTGATAATTGCCAGGCTCAGGCCATTTCACACCTACCTTCTACCTAGCCTTCTCTTGACAGGCTGACTTTCAACTGACTAATAAGAAGATCGCCCCAACTGTCTTCCTTATAACCACTTTGTACGGACCGAGTGGAAAACACCGTTCCCATCAGTACCTCCATTACTATGTGAGTATTCGTTCCCGCGGGAACGTGTTCAAAGAGCCGTTGCCTAGAAACGGGTTGCATAAAACAGCTGTTTATTCGCCCACTGCACAGAAACGGTTGTAAACGCTACAATATTTTAACAATAAGTTCTTGGAAGAGCTAAATGCCTATGTTCCTTTCGTACGACACGGACCGTACAGAAAATGATGCGTCCAACAACTGTTCTATTATTGCGTGTGTCTTCCTTGCCACGGTAAAGCTTTTGCCGAGCCGATGCGTAGCAACGATAGGGTACACAGACACGCAGTCTCATGGGAGGGATTTATGAAACACGCCGTTGAGACGGGTTAAGGTGCCATGATAAACACATAAGCTTTCATTTTCTCAAGATATGCAGGAAGGAATCGTTCTATAAAAAGAACTTCCTTGAAATACAGTTTCGTTAAGCAATTTAAGCTCAAAAAACCAACAGCAAACTCATCTCCCTTGGTGCAGAGGTTTCAGATGTATTTTTTTTTATATTTGCAGAAATAAGTCAGAAATCTCTAGTGAATGTAAAGACCAAAGTTGTGCCTGTGCTTAGTTAGTTAGTTATTGGAGAGGGTGGGTTTCCCCATGCACTGAGACCTGTATTGGTCCATTGTGCTTCCCTCTATGATTACTACCAGTCTCTATATCCTACTGGTACTGGAGCTTACCATCAGTCCCGCCAAGCCAGCGAGACCGGGTCTACTAGCTGAGAGGTATCTGTAATGCTTCCCCCATCTACCAGAGGTATTAGAGACTGCTGTTGGGCGGGAAACGTCCGTTAATTTGGCTCAGTGACCTCCTTTGGAGATATGAGGTTCTTTTACGTGCCGTAAAGCTACGACACGGGACCCACGGCTTAAAGTCCCTCCCGGAGGACTTGT